CAACCCTTGCCATTACAATTATCTGTCAACTGTTATCTGTTGAGCCAACTTTCTGGTAGTATAGTTGCATTACTCATTACACTACTTTGTAACTGTGTAACTAATATCGTAGTTAGCATTTTATTTATCACAAATACCAAAATAACGTATACATTTCTTAAGTTTATCTATCACGTGAGACCGCGTTGCTTGTTCCTTTAAAATCAGAGGCAACGGCGCCATCTTATGGATTTTAACATTCAGTTCAGTACAGCGGCAAACTCTGATGGCAAACGCGCCTTCTGCTCTGATCGAATAAGCCCCGATCTGAGACCAGCACAGTCATCGACCTCTCGGCGAATCTCGCGAGGATCCGGTTTTTCACTTTTTTATTAATTGTGTATGATGAACAATTAACATTCAAAAGTATAACAAAATGTTACAAACATTTTCTGGAAGAAAAAAATAAAATAAAACGAAAAAAATAAAATAAAAATAACAAGGAGGGTATACATCAATCATCACAATAGAAAAGAGGAGTTTAGTTCTTTATGGGTGTCCATAGTTCTGGTTGCTTTCCGATTTGAAGGACCTTGGAGAGTTTCAAAATAAATCCTCAAATCAACTTTAAAGTGGGAGATACTGGGCTTCCTTTCTGACCATTTACATTTGTGTAGGCTATGTAAAACTTACCTAATAATATTAGAAGATTTAGCATAAAAAATGCGACTCTTATCCATATATTTTTTATCAAAATAAAATATTACATCTCTTTTTCTTATATTAATTTTAGATCCACTCAACATAGTAAATAAATATTCAATATCAATCCAGAAAAATTGAACATACATACATTCAAAAAAAAGATGCAAAACAGTCTCTACATCCATTCCACAAAAAAACACAAAATTCAGAGAGAACAGCTCTGTATCTCTGTATCTCTTGAGAAACTGGTTAGTTGGATAAATTATATGTATAATTTTAAAGTAAACTTCACTAACTTTATTTGTGACACATAATTTGTTATAATAAATCCAAATCAATTTCCAGTTGATATTCTCAAAATGGTTATTCCAGAAGTACTGATGGAGGAAATAAAAGGAAACTTGATTGGAGGTAAAGTGGCTTCGGTCAAAAGATTGATGCACGGACAAATAATAAAAAGTGTATTAGTCTTTCTGTGTTGATACACTTTGAAGACAACAATTTACCAGTAAATGTGAAGCTAGGATTCATCAGCTGTTATAAATGTCAGCGCATGGGACATACTGCTGCTCTTTGCAAAGAGAAAGTGGGACTTTGCATAAAAGTAATAGGTATACAGGGGGTAATCAGGTTATTACATTTTTATAATCCATGTTCAGGATTATCAGTAGCCTAGATATCCTGAAAAGTGCCATGGGAGAATTTTCACACAATTAGATCCACTCAACATAGTAAATAAATATTCAATATCAATCCAGAAAAATTGAACATACATACATTCAAAAAAAAGATGCAAAACAGTCTCTACATCCATTCCACAAAAAAACACAAAATTCAGAGAGAACAGCTCTGTATCTCTGTATCTCTTGAGAAACTGGTTAGTTGGATAAATTATATGTATAATTTTAAAGTAAACTTCACTAACTTTATTTGTGACACATAATTTGTTATAATAAATCCAAATCAATTTCCAGTTGATATTCTCAAAATGGTTATTCCAGAAGTACTGATGGAGGAAATAAAAGGAAACTTGATTGGAGGTAAAGTGGCTTCGGTCAAAAGATTGATGCACGGACAAATAATAAAAAGTGTATTAGTCTTTCTGTGTTGATACACTTTGAAGACAACAATTTACCAGTAAATGTGAAGCTAGGATTCATCAGCTGTTATAAATGTCAGCGCATGGGACATACTGCTGCTCTTTGCAAAGAGAAAGTGGGACTTTGCATAAAAGTAATAGGTATACAGGGGGTAATCAGGTTATTACATTTTTATAATCCATGTTCAGGATTATCAGTAGCCTAGATATCCTGAAAAGTGCCATGGGAGAATTTTCACACAAAAATGATTATTTGTGGTGATATTAATGCTCACAATAGTATTTGGGGTAGCAGGAACACAGAAAAAGTAATAGAATAATTCATGGAAGAGAACTCTTTAGTGTGTCTAAATGACAATCCAACAATAATAGACGTAATAAGAGGTGGGATGTCATGTTTAGATATCACAATAGTTTCAGAATCATTAAATGTCTGTATCTAAAGATAATATAGCCTAGGAAGTGATCATTTCCAGTGACCTGTGAAATTCAAAATAAGATTCAAATACAAAATTGTAATTTTGGTGTAAGATGCAGGGGCGTGTCTACGTGGTGGCCAGGGGTGGCCCCGGCCCCCCCTGAAATTTGGCTGCCCACCCCATGTGCCCCCCCCCCCACACCATATGTCTTGTGATAGGCTTGTTTTTAGTAAATTTCTAACTGCATCTGGCAGTGGCGGATCCTGGCATGTGTCGGCAGCTGCCTAGGACCGCTTTCTTCTCCTCTTTATACTTAATTTTAGGCAGCTTCTATAGTGCGATCTTAATGACAATGTCGAGAGCGCATAAGGTGACGTGATCCATGTAGGCCTAATGCGCGAGCACAAATCTCCACTCGCAAGCAGATTTCCTTCACTCACACAAAACTGGACGTGTGCTTTTAAATATGCTTTGTTCTGTTAAGTATTGGCTCTGCTCTCACACAGATATTACGTGTACGCTCAAACGTTGTCCTCGCATCACTGAAGACCAGATGTGCTTTTTTTCTAATTCAGGTGAAGAGTAGGCTTTTCTCACTAAATGGAAGCAAGCTGAATATAGTCAGCCTTTTCTAGTTATTTATTTTATTAATACTTATTTTAGTTAAGTGCTTAAATTGTAAATATGCATTTATTAAATTATTTTATTTAGTGCATTTGTATTTTGTTGTTTTTGTATATAGTTATACAACAAAAGTGTATCAACGAGGTTCCAGAAATAAGGGTTCTTCTGAAATTAGTGAGGGTGCTCTAGTCTTATATTCTATAAAAATTATTTGCATTCCGATCTTGACATCAAAAGGCACAAAAATATTTTTTTCTTTTATTCCATGGATTTTACCCATTTTCCTCCACTTGTTCCCAGTGTTTTTCTGCAGCTGCAAGTGACATAACTGTGATGTCTACTCTGAATTGGTCTATACGGGTCAGCAACCAAATCTTCACTGAAAAAAATAGATATCATACAATCCAGAGCATTAAGAATATGTTGTGGAGCAGTTAAAACATTCCCTGTAGATGCAATTGGGGTAGAAATTGGAGAGATGCCTCTAACTTAGAAGGGAAAAATTGGCAGTGACATACTGGGTGAATCTTCAACAATGAGTGAGTAATCATCTTACTCCCAAAGTATTGGAGGAGTGCTGGCAATATTTGTATGATGGAGGACATAGTTTTGGATGGAAGAGTAGAATATGGGCTAAGGAATATGGCATGGACAGTTAGATCCTCTGTCCTAATGAACGGCTCACTGATGCCCCACCATGGAGAGTTCCTGAACCGCTTGTGGATTTGAGCTTACTAGACAAGCCCAAAGATGAATACATTGGAAATTAGGTTAATGCTATTTTAAATAATACATTTTATTCAACTTTACAAATATTTACAGTTGGTTCTAAGGAACCTGTCAGTTAAAAGGTTGAAATAGGTTTATATATTCCAAAATTTTAAAGACAAATTAGCTTGAAATTGCCAGATGATTTATCAGTGTACACTGCAGAGTTAACAGATAAAAATAGGATTACAGAGTAGGTTGAACAAGTCAGACCAAATAAAGTAGTAATATGTTCAGACTCTTCTTCAGCTTTATATAATATATGCAAGATCAGACAGAGAAGATTTATTAATGGAAGTGTATTGATCTTTATACAGACTGAAAGAGGCTGGAATGGTGTATTTTTGTTGGGTACCAGCACACATTGGGGTATCTGGTAATGAAGTTGCTGACAAACTAGCAAAAAAAAGCACTAGGCAAGAGGGAGGTGGATGTTAACGTACCAATGGGAAAAAAGGAGGCAAAATCTATTTTAAAGAAAAAGTTAAGGAATAAATGACAAATTAGATTGGATAATAGTAGCACAGGGAGATGTGCCTATTACACAGACAGTAGGGAGGATAAATTGCCATGGAAGAAATAGAAAAGAAGTATGGCTTATTTAGTCACTTTAAGAATGGGGAGGACAGAATGAAAAATGAGGATATTTTAGGAAAAGCATTAATGGACAGACAGGTATACAGAGCGCTAATTAAATGTATATATGACTCAGGCTTTGGGTCTATATGTGTGGATGGGAATACTTTACCTAATCTGGAAAGTGAAAGTGAAAGTGATGTGACATGTGGCAAAGTGGTGACCCATACTTGGAATTAGTGCTCTGCTAGTGCATCTGCACACAGCAGTGAACACATACCCAGAGCAGTGGGCAGCCATTTTTTTGCTGCGGCACTCGGGGAGCAGCTGGGGGTTCAGTGCCTTGCTCAAGGGCACCTCAGTCGTGGTATTGAAGGTGGGAGAGAGCGCTGTACATTCACTCCCCCCACCTACACTCCCTGCCGGTACGAGACTCGAACCCGCAACCTTTAGGTTATGAGTCCGACTCTCTAACCATTAGGAGGTTAGGCCACAACTACCACAGAGTGGAACGACTTTTCACGAGCATGAAGAGCTAATAGTGAATGTTTACTGGAGCAGAACTCGCAGTGCTAGCATGAGCATGCGCACTGATTGAGGGAGTATGAAACATCCACACAGTTTTTTTTTTGTTTGTTTTTTTGTGTGTAAATTTCAGACCCATCACCTATGTAAGTTTAATTTGACATCCAGTACAGTAGGTGGCGATAATGTTCCTAAGGAGTTATTCGCCATTAAACAAGAAGAAGAAGACTCTGATGTTTGGCTACAGGAAGCTTGTAGTAGACAGCGAGGCCGGACAGAGGCAAGGTATGAAAATTAAACCTATTACAAATAATGGTGATCTGATATCGAATCATATATTATATACCAAGAGGTTTGTGGTGTTACAACTATAATGTCAGGTTAAAAAGTGTGTTTCCATAGGCGATGTCAGGAAAGTTGCTGATGTAACAGTCGGTTGTGACTGGTTAACGTTAGCTGATTTGCCTCTGAAGTTTTTCACTTTAACCATGAAAGAAGTTTAAGATTTACATTTAAGATAAGTTTAACCTTATGAAATGTGTATGTTTACGTGTACGCTGTATAATGTGGGTATTTTTGGCAACAAATAAGTAACTTTCCAGTTGATGAGCGAAAAGTTTTCCCACAATTCAGCCCCGCCCAGCAGAACTGCGCGTGAGGAAACAGCAGTTTAAAGATGAATACTTCAGTAGGCCTGGAGTTACTCATCCTATGCCTTTTCACTTTGCATAATTATTGAGGAAACCACCCTAATATATAATATCTTGCCACATCCTCTGTGCGTTTAAGACGTTGAAAGGATCCTTATGTCCATATCTGGAAAACCTAGAGGTCAGTTTCTAAAGTTTTTTTCTTTTTCCCTTTTTTTGGGGGGGGGTCTGCGATATGTGTTGTATGGATGGTTATCTGTTATTTTCACTCATCAACATAACACTCTCTTGATGTGATTACAGATGGCTTACAATGACTCTGATAAGTCCAGCCTCGATGATGTCTGCTGTGATGACCAATACCCCAGCTGTGCAGCAGCCGTGGACAAAGACAGGGATTCGTATCTGAGCCCGACAGAGAACCCCTCCACCATCAGTGTCTCTGCTAGTATCCCCCCAGACCAGCAAGGCTATGATGAGGAGTTTGACCCTCCGCTAGAGAGCAATTTGTTTAAAAAAAAAAAAAAAAAGCAGACTATTATTTCTTGACCTTTGACTATTACTGTATGTCAGGCTTTACAGGGTTAAAAATGTCAAATATAACTTCCTATTTTCTGGCAGGGACACAGGGCAGAAATGTCCAGTTGACAATGAGGTGCTGCTTGAGGAACAGCTCTTCCCTGATAACTTTGCTAAACGAGAGATCCTCTCACTTACTGTCCGATGTCCTAATGTAGGATGCTGTGATAAAATGGAGTTGCGCCAACTGGAGGTAAATTTGTGGGTCTGACATGGTAAAAGTGTTTTAAATGCTGTATTTCAAATATTTGTACTTGCAAAAAAATAAAATCTGTCAGGCCAGTCACACCAAAAATAGCATGCATGCTTAGTATTATGGTAATTTAAAATAATGGCAGCACAAAAAAAGGCAGCCTGTGAGTAAGAATATAACTTTTTTTAAGAAGATTTTTATAAGCCGCGTGTCCTTAAATATGGTTAAAAAAAATTAAATTGTGTTTAGTTCTGTATATATATATATATATATATAAGATATATAATTCAGTCATTATAAATCTGAATTAAATCAGTCCTTGGATATGTTATGCATCAACTCCTCAGAGAGCAAGACCTTTCATAAATGCCATTTTAAACCCATTAGTGTGGTGTCATGAGCAGGCTTGCTAAATCGCAGTTGTCATGGTGGCTACTTGTTTAATTGTGTTGTAACATTCTCTTTTCCTCAGAAACACTTGTCTCAGTGTAAGTTTGCCACAGTGCCATGCCCTCAGTGTCTGGAGTCTGTTCGTAAGAGCCATCTGGATGAACACAAGAGCCAGCAGTGTTTACAGCGGCTTATGACCTGCCCTGCCTGTGCAGGGAGCTTTGTGTATGCTGACAAGCAGGTGAAAACCATCGTTTCCTGTTTACATACTAGATATGTTTAGGTTGAAGTGGTTTTGAAAGTAGGTCTTTACTTTTTATTTAGTAGAATTTATTAATATTCAATTAGCTTTTATTTTTGTATTTTCAGTTCATTTTATTTTTAGTTATAGTAATTTTATGTGCTTTTGTCATTTGTTGATTTCTCATATTTATATTTAGCTTTTATGTTCAGTGCCCTCCACTAATATTGGCACCCTTGGTAAATATGAGCAACGGTGGCTGTGAAAACAAATCTCACTTTTCGAAAGTGGGGGGGAATCTCATTTTGAAATGTTTTTCTCTAGTTCACATTAGCCACAATTATTGCCACCCAATTATTGCAACATCCTTTTCCCAAGATAACAGTTCTGTGTTTTCTACTATAATGCCGGATGAGTTTGGAGAACACCTGACAAGAGATCAGAGACCATTCCTTCATACAGAATCTCTCCAGATCCTGCAGATTCTGGAGATCCTCTGCCATGGCCGTCCCAGTTCCCTGACCTGAACCCTATGGAAAATGAGTGGGGTAAGCTGAAGTTAAAGGGTTAGATCAACCAAAAATGAAAATTAGCCTGTGTTTTACTCTCCCTCAAAGCATCCTAGGTGTATGTGACTTTCTTCTTTCAGACGAATCCAATCGGAGTTATATTAAAAATTGTCCTGAACCCTCCAAGCCTTTCAATGGGGGTAAGCGGGTGTTGGTTGTCAACCGTTCAGAAGACGTAAAATTAGGGCTGAACGATTTTGGAAAATAATCTAATTGCGATTATGTTTACCAATATTGCGATTGCGATTTAATATGCGATTTTATTTTTTAAGATCTTTATCTTCTGTATTATTCAACAAAGACGAGCAATAAATCATTGAAGGGGTGGGAATCTTTAGGCACCTCACGATTCGATTCCGATTCTGGGAGTTGCTGCCAAATTCCAAAACGATATTTTTTTTTCTTATTGATTAGTCTTATTAATACACTAATATTGGCACCCTTGGTTAATATGAGCAACGGTGGCTGTGAAAACAAATCTCACTTTTCGAAAGTGGGGGGAATCTCATTTTGAAATGTTTTTCTCTAGTTCACATTAGCCACAATTATTGCCACCCAATTATTGCAACATCCTTTTCCCAAGATAACAGTTCTGTGTTTTCTCCTATAATGCCGGATGAGTTTGGAGAACACCTGACAAGAGATCAGAGACCATTCCTTCATACAGAATCTCTCCAGATCCTGCAGATTCTGGAGATCCTCTGCCATGGCCGTCCCAGTTCCCTGACCTGAACCCTATGGAAAATGAGTGGGGTGAGCTGAAGTTAAAGGGTTAGATCAACCAAAAATGAAAATTAGCCTGTGTTTTACTCTCCCTCAAAGCATCCTAGGTGTATGTGACTTTCTTCTTTCAGACGAATCCAATCGGAGTTATATTAAAAATTGTCCTGAACCCTCCAAGCCTTTCAATGGGGGTAAGCGGGTGTTGGTTGTCAACCGTTCAGAAGACGTAAAATTAGGGCTGAACGATTTTGGAAAATAATCTAATTGCGATTATGTTTACCAATATTGCGATTGCGATTTAATATGCGATTTTATTTTTTAAGATCTTTATCTTCTGTATTATTCAACAAAGACGAGCAATAAATCATTGAAGGGGTGGGAATCTTTAGGCACCTCACGATTCGATTCCGATTCTGGGAGTTGCTGCCAAATTCCAAAACGATATTTTTTTTTCTTATTGATTAGTCTTATTAATACAACTTTTTTTTTTTTTTATTCCATATTTAATTATAAGTACTTTAAAAAAATAAATTACATATTAAAAAAATTTATTAAAACAATTGCATGTTAATAATTTTAAATAAACTAATATAAAACAGGGCTTAGATTAAGCCAGGATTAGGCCTTAGTTTAATTAGGACATCTAAGTAGTTTGTACGTGCCTTAGAAAAAAAAACATTACTGATGTGTATCTTGAGACAAAACAATGGCACTGATATATTTTAAGACATGTCAGTGCAAGTTGCTCTCAGTTAAGACAGCGCAAACATTTATTTTAGTCTGGCTTACAAGCAATAAACAAACCGTGCTTTCAGTATTTAAGAGTATCTGAACATTTTCCTTTCAAGAGCTGTTTGTGATTTTTCTCTTTCTCAGCTTTACTGTTGTTGATTATTATGATGACATCATAGAGCATTCACACTAATGCACAGATCTCTTTTGAAATATAAGATGTGGTTTGTCCTGTCTGTTTGATCCTTTAAGACGTAACTGACTGTGTTTACATGCATTTCAAAATGCTTTTATGACGCGAAATTAAAGTATATTTAAGCACTTAAAAGGAGTCGCGCACAGCCGCATGACCGAACACTCTTCACAAAGTGCGCGTCTGCATTTGAAATTTACAAAGACATAACTGAGGAGGTGTTCGTAGAGCATTTGTAAGGAAAATACCGGCGGGCGAGACGACACACTGCAAGCATCAGCAACGCACGCGATTCTCTCAGAGCATCCTGTTCAGTGAAGCACGCGAATGTCCCTGTAATTCGCTTCAACCATTCCGAACTTTATTAAAGATTATTGTGTGGATAGTTCGAGTGGTGTGTGTGTGTGTGAGAGAGAGAGAGAGAGCAATTGGAAGAAAGCAGGATGGGTTTCTAAAGTACATGCAGCGCCATCGCGCATCTGTGGTTAAAAACTAAGCTCAAAATCTTTTCTCCCATCTCTATTGTATAGTGTGACCAACACAATGTTAGATAGATTAAACAAAGTGCGCTTTTCTGTAGGCCAGGCATATGCGAAGTGTGCCAAGTTGATGCTTCCTCTGCAGACTGCTTTACTCTCGCGTGTCACGTGACGAGAGTGTAATCGCAGCCTTGCGGTTAAAAAATCGCGTTTTGTCATATCGCGATATTATCGCAAATGCGATTAATCGTTCAGCCCTACGTGAAATAAAGCGCACGCATCCGTAATAAAACGTCCCTCACACGGCTCCGGGGGGTGAATAAAGGCCTGTAGCGAATCCATGCATTTTGTAAGATAAATGTCCATATTTCAAACTTAATAAACACTTTTCTCTCACTTCCGCTGACTGTCACGGAAGCCGTTCCGGCAGGTGACATAAGACATCAACGTTGCGTGATTAGTGACAAATGCGGAGACAAAACAAAACGGCGTTCACAAATTAGAAGTACAAAACGAGGATTTGTAAAGAAAAATGTCGGAGGATTTCGATATGAGCCAAGAGGAGACTGGTTTTCCTTTGCTAAAGTAAGGAAACTTTGTTTCCTTTGCTCCTGCATTTCTCAGAGGCATGCGCACGACGCATACGTCCTACGTCATCCGCCGGAACGACTTCCGCGTACCACAGTCAGCGGAAGTGAGAGAAAAGTGGTTATTTCATTTGATATATGGATATTTATCTTACAAAAATGCATGGATTTGCTACAGGAGGCCTTTATTCACCCCCCGGAGCCGTGTGAGGGACTTTTTATTACGGATGCGCGCACTTTATTTCACGTCTTCTGAACTGTTGACAACCAACACCCGCTTACCCCCATTGAAAGGCTTGAAGGGTTCAGGACAATTTTTAACATAACTCCGATTGGATTCGTCTGAAAGAAGAAAGTCACATACACCTAGGATGCATTGAGGGTGAGTAAAACACAGGCTAATTTTCATTTTTGGTTGAACTAACCCTTTAACTTCAGCTCACCCCACTCATTTTCCATAGGGTTCAGGTCAGGGAACTGGGACGGCCATGGCAGAGGCTTCGTTCCAGTCGTGTCTGACAACTGAATAGGCTGGAGTTTGTTTTTGAAAGAGCGAGGAGGATTTTTCTAGAAACCCTCCCGAACAACATGTGGTGATGTAGGGGCTGTTTGATATACTGTATATATTTTTTAGGCTTTCTGACCCCAAGACTCAACTAATCTCTGCAGTTCTCCAGCTGTGATCCTTGGAGAGTCTCTGGCCACTCAAACTCTCCTCCTCGCCGTGCATTAGGTCGATATAGACACACGTCCTCTTCCAGGCAAATTTGTAACATCTTTAGTTATTTGGAACTTCTTAGTTATTGCCCTGATGGTGGAAATGGGGATTTTCATTGCTTTAGCTATTTTCTTATAGCCATGCTCCTAGTGCTAAAAATTTTTTTTTTTTTTTTGGGAATATACTTCAGCCATATTCCAGGCAAATTTGTAACATCTTTAGTTATTTGGAACTTCTTAATTATTGCCCTGATGGTGGAAATGGGGATTTTCATTGCTTTAGCTATTTTCTTATAGCCATGCTCCTAGTCATCCTGGTGTGCTAAAAATTTTTTTTTTTTTTTGGGAATATACTTCAGCCATATTTTACTCTATACGAATTTCTAGCGGTGCAGTTATAACAGTTATTTCATAATGTGAGTTTCCACCCATTGCCAATTGTTTTACTTCAATGAAAGGTTAGAATGTTGTGAATTTTTTTTGAATGAAAGATCAAAAAGATAAATGATGCAGATTTATTTTAACAGCCACATTTGCTCATATTTACCAAGGGTGCCAATATTAATGGAAGGCACTGTACTTCTATTTCTGTATTAGTTTTATTAAATATAGTGACTTAAACTTATTTTATTTCAGTTAGTTTCCTGTTTATAATTAAGTTTTCATTAGTTTTGTTTAACATTTTAATAGTTTTTGTTACCAATAACAACACTGTCTGAAACGATTATCATCTTTTGTTTAGATTCATGAACAGATTTGTCCTTTCGCCAATACAGTGTGTGAATATTGCGAAATGGAGCTTATTCGGGATCAGGTGTGTCAGATGATTTTTCACTAATATGCACATTTCCTGAGGCACAACAGTAATGAACTCTTTTTGATAGTTAAAATTATTCATTGTGAAACTATGAAGCTGAATGAATCTGTTCTTGATGGTTTCAGTTGGCATTGCACTGTGACACAGACTGTCTTAAAGCTCCTGTAGCCTGTACTTTCAGCTCTTTTGGTTGTCGTGAAAAGGTGGGCCATGAGATTCCTGTTGCATAACACTCAAAAACATATATGCTGTTCTTTTGAGCGTTCTGTTCATCAAAGAATCCTGAAAAGAAATGTATCGGTTTCAACAAACATATACATTATAAATGCAAAAATATTAATACTTAACTTTTGAGTGGTAGTGTATAGCATATAAGTGTCAAGTGACCTTTTTATTTCTTTGGAAATGTTACAGATGCCAAGAAATGAACTGGCCCAGCACATGCAGGAATTTACACAGATGCACATGCGTTACATGGCTGAGTTCCTGCGCAGCCAGACACTCAGTAGCTGCCCAGTGCCGTCAATTGCTGCCCACTCTTCGTCAGACGAACGTGGAGCAACTGCCCGAGCCCCAGATTCTTGCCAGTGTAGACAGGAGCTGATGAACCTGCGTGAGACGGTCTTGGAACTGGAGGGTCGGCTGGTTCGTCAAGATCAACAGATCCGGGAGCTGTGCATCCACAATGAGACACAGAAAACCCAGGTCACAGAGCTACGCCGAAAGCTGAGCTCACTGGAGGAGGCCACCCGAGAGCTGGAAGCCCAGCAGTATCAAGGTGTCTACGTATGGCGTTTGGAGAACTTCTCACTTCACCTGCGCAACCAAGAGGCCGGTCAACCCATAGTCCTCCACAGCCCACCTTTCTACACTGGCCGGCCGGGGTACAAACTCTGCCTACGACTGCATCTGCAAACTCCCAGTGCCCCTCGCTGTTCCAACTACATCTCACTTTTTGTGCACACTATGCAGGGTGAGTTTGACAGCCAGCTCTCCTGGCCCTTGCAGGGCATGATCCGACTGGCAGTGTTGGACCAGGTTGAGGGGCAGCATCATGTGGAAGTGATGGAGACCAAGCCGGACCTGCAGGCCTTCCAGAGGCCCACTGTCCTGCGCAACCCCAAGGGTTTTGGCTATGTTACTTTCCTGCACCTACAGGCGTTGCAGCAGCGTGGGTTTGTGAAAGACGACGTGCTGTTGGTGCGCTGCGAAGTGACACCACGATTTGATGCTAGCCTCAGGAGGGAAGGGGTCCAACCTCGGGGGTCAGAACCTTCACTTTGAGTTCCTACATTGCTCTTGTACTCTTAAGTTCTCATAGACACTTTGCTGAAACAAGGAAGGTGTGGCAAAACCTGGACTTTCTTAGGATGCGTTCACACTTGTAGTTCGGTTCTCTTGGTTCGTTTGGTACGGACCAAAAAAGAAAACGATACAACCTAAAGGCTTGTTCACACCGGGACGAATATCGCGTGCGATTATCGCCGACGTTTAACGCCTCGTGACTAAACAAAGGGCGCCAATGTGAGTGTGCACACCGACACTCAAAACGCGAGGTGTAAAAGCGTCATTTTTTAAAAAACGCCTCGGGCTCGTTTTTTTGGTTTGACTCACCGCGTTAAAAACTGCCCGACCAATGAGATTGGCGCTTTTGTTCACGTGCCTAGAGCTGCTGAAGTTAAAGTAAAACACGACTTGGTGGTGCTCAAGCACAAAACGTTCTTGCCGAGCACACATTGATACCTAACGACGAAGAGGAAGTAAGTAGACCAAGAAGATGCATCGAGGCAAGATGAATGTAGAGCTGCTGGTCTCATTGGCGTATGAACATGGCGATAAGCACACGCGATAATCGTCCCGGTGTGTACGAGGCTTAAAGATACCGAACCTAAAGGCACAGTGATACGTTCACAACCTGATTGGTCGGGTTGAATGACGTATATTTCACGACGGAACTCACCGAATACCCCAAACAAAAGCTGTGTTCGACTTAAAGCGGCGCTGCGCAGACCGATCGGTGTATGACATCAAAGTACCCATTCACTGATCGGTATGCGCAGCACCGCTTTAAGCCGAACACACACAATGCTGTCTGCTGGACTAAGCGCGCTCATTGCTGCGTGTACTTTATTTTCACCACCTGCAAACTTTTGGATACACCGCTCGTCCCGCATCGTTAAATCATGTCACATAGCATCGCATCTTGTCATTACTTCCTGTTTTTGGTTCGTTTAGAAGTGTTTGGTCTGTGTTGCGTTCATATTTCATTCGAACCGCACCAGAGTTCGTTTGGAAGCGGACCGAGACCCATCTTTTTTAGCGGTCTCTGTCCGCTTGTTTGGTGTGCACCAGGGTTCGGATGGCAGCGTTCACATTTACTCAAACGAACCGCACTAACAGAGCAATTGCACCAGGGTTCGTTTTAATCGAACCAAACATGACAAGTGTGAACACACCCTTAGACTCTTTATGGTACACCAGGCTTAGTAATGATATTTTTTTTTACAGAGTTGCATAACTCTCGTGTCTGTTGTGAAGTGTTTTATATACAAATGTTTCTCAAAAGCATTTTAATCAGTGCAATCAATGGACAAACCTACGTATTAGTATCAGAAATTCACTGAATGTCCTGTCAACCAAGCTAAAGGGTGTAAAACTATTATTTTAATGGTGCTGCTTATGCTAAGTGTTAGCTTCCACAAATTATTTTCATTGTACTACATCCAACTCATTTTTGCTGCCTTTTCAGCCAAGTCAACAGTAGGAAAAAATGTGTTCCTTTTTTTATTTTGTTCATAAAATGTGCTTAATTTTCATTTATCTGACAAGACCTGACAATTTAAAGCATCATTAGTACAGTGCAGCACTGTTTACTTTGATTATATTGAATGTTGTGCATTGTTCATTTAACAACTTAATGTCTTAAGTTGGGGTTACATTAGCGAAGTGTCAATGAAAAACTGTTAGCGATGCATGAAGTGTAGCTCACAAAGAATTCCCTTTCAAACCAGGCAACTCTCTGTTGGTTAATGGAGTGAATCTGCATAATCAGTTTGAACTCTTGCCTGGGGAAATCTTTTGCCCTCTCGCGAAGCTCCCAGTCACTTGGATTTGTATAGAAATTACTGGACTTTACCCATAAAAAATTTGCCAAACCGTAAATGTGATCACACCTTTAATGCAGTTGGTCTCGAAAGTTGTCAGCTGCTCTAAATTTCTGAAAGGTGCAGTACATAAGAAGCATGGCCTATGAACAAGAAATAAGGTGTTTTTTGTTTTTCTCCAGTCACCTTAATTTTGCTCAATATTGCTTACACGTGTGAATGTTCTACTTGCTTCATTGCAAAACGTTGACAACATAACTATGAGTACTTTTTCTTTAATCAGATGGACTAATATATGCAAGTTAATCTGATAATTGTATTGACACTGGAAATCTGACAATCCTTTTTTTTTCATATAATGTTCTTTATTTCATCACAATATACAGTGCCCAAATGAGTTGATATTTGTCTTTTATAAATTATTGTTGAATTCACATAGTTTCTGTCTTCCCTGCGCCCTCTTACGTTCTCACAGATGCTTTCATAACATGGCAGACTTCAGAGGTGTGTTTTAGTCAGATTTCACGGCTCGCAAAAATGCTAACCCGGACATCCCGGGGCTGTTGTGTTTTCCAGTCGGGCTACCAAAATGTATCACCGCCCTGCCCGATGGGCTATCTTAAATGCAAGTCTTCAATTTAGTGGTGTTTTTATGTGAATGTGTCTCTGAAGGGAACCGACCTATCTTCAGAAAATTTTCAATGGTATTTTCATTTCATCTTACTTGTAATGCTGGATAAAGCAGCGTTTATGAGCGCAGCGCTGCTTTGTGTAGAGCCGTTACTGGGGAAACAGCTCTATTTCTACCGTTTCAGGTCGGAGTAATGGGCGTGGCAAAAGGTGGCTTGCCAAAAGGTGAATGCTACCAAAGACTATAAAGGGACTTTGATGCTACAACAGAAACTAACCCCTAAACCTAACCCTAACTTAATTAGAAAGACCTTTATACACGCCCCCTACCTTTCAGCAGGCCCACTGCTCCAGCCTGCAGTTATCCCTACTTGGTTTCAAATGCCCCACCTAGTGACAGAAAAAAATACAATTTTCAGTAAGCCCTCCAGCCTGTTTTTTTTTTTTCTCAGATCAATGTAAATATTGATTTGTAAATGTGAAATAAGCTAATGTGCCTTCTAAAAATCTAAACAATTAAGACAAATATGATATGTATATGCTTTAAATTAATATAATTTTATGTTTGTCTCATCCCTTTTCTTAAAAATTTTAAGTTAAGAAGTTTTTTTTTTTGTGAAGAACTGTAAATCATGTAATTTTACAGTTTGTTATCATAGATATTGCCCTACCCCGCTCATACAGTGTTCATTTTATTTGTGCAGGTTATAAAAAGCCTTCAATTGATTTTTAAAAATCCCGCAGATACTATGTAAATAGTGAAATACAACATTTTGACTCCTATTCAGTTTTCTGTATATAAAAAACAGAAGGCTAGTTAAATTGCAGGCTACCAAAATCTGAAGAGTGCCTGCCGGATCTACAGTTTCTCAGCTGTCGTCCATCACAGTATAGGCCTATACAGTACCTTACAGTAACAGTCAGAATGAGCATTTGTCATGCTGTGACTAGTAGGTTTCCCACTGGCTCGAGGTACATCTCCCCTTCCTGTTCTACTACAGGTGACAGCAGAGAGCCTTCAGAGATGTAATGACTAATCCTTATCTCAGTATATATGGAGTTCTAGAACTGTCTTGTGCTGTAACTGTCTATATAGTCTGCAGTTAGAGGTCTGCACGGGACTGTGCTTCCGCAAGGTTCTATTCCGCACCCAACCCGCTCCCGCTATATATTCACTCTTTGTTCGCCCGCAGTCTTGCTTAGAATAATTTTCTTCCTGATCGTTTCCAGAATCTCACACTTAAATTTCCGCTACTGAAAGAAAGAGAGCTAGGCTAACAAATAAAAGTGTAGTCTGCACAAAATTGTATTTATATAATTTGTCTTGTCAAGAGTCTTGAAGTTATTGACAGCAACTGCTGCCAATGCAGTAGGGAAAAAAAGTGTCACAGAGAAAATAAAATTGTACAAAAATCGTATTTCTGATTTTTATTCGTCTTGTCAGGATACATTTCGTTTAACATTTTGTTGTACACAGTAGGAAAAGGGTCGCAGAGAAAAATAAATAGGCTACGACATCTGTCATTTAAAATGGTAGGCTAGGCTAAGCAAAATACCGAGAAATACCGAACAAAACCGAGTTGAAGGTCCTTCAAGGACAGCGCAGCCACACTTTGCTCCATCCTTATACTCAAGTTGGTAATATTCCTTTGAGGGGCCTCTGGATTCCTGAATTCCCTACACATACACAAGAACAGACACGAATAATAGAGATGTTTATGCAGATGGCAATTCAGCATGGGTTTGCAGTTAACATTCACCTGTAGCACAAGTAGCATCTGTGTGATGGCTGCTGGGATGAGACAGATTCTTGCTCAGCAGGTCATCCAGAGAGTTTCATTAGGACCAGATCCCTGAAGCCGAGAAGAGCCATGTCTCACTGTCAACTCCAACCCCTGCATACAGAAAGAAAGAGAGAAACCGAATACATTTCCTGCAGAATCAAAATATACCACAATTAAATTAACCACAGGAGCTTTAAAAAAAAAGTATTAAGCCTAAACATTATTTAAATTCACTATTTTAAGTAGATCAACTATTCTACAGTCTAATAAACCCACTATGGAGTCAATTCAATGCCACATATATTTGCAAAATAAAAAAGTTTTGCAAACAAAAATGAAGTATTGCGAGAAAAAAAATAAGCTTTGCAAACAAAAATAAAGAATTGCAAAATATAAATGAAACCGAACAAAAGCAATGATTTTGCAACACATATTTTCCATGACCACCATAGCTACTAATTTATTTGCAACGCTGCTTTTATTTTATGTTTCAGTGCGAGTTCGCAATGCCGTTTTTTTCCCTTTGCGCTTCATGTTTCTGTGCGTTTCACTTTTTGGCATTGTTTTGACATGGGGGTGGAGTCGGGGGACTGGAGCATGTACAACAGACCTGGGCTGCGTTCAGCCCCGACAAAAATGGTGCAAAACGTTTTTTTTAAAACGGAAACGGTGGTGTGTTAAACACCCTGTTCTGATGATGCAAGAGTTGCAACTATGGCAGCTGAGAAGGCCATTCTTTGTGTTCTTTTTGAAGAATTTTCGGAGCCTGATGAAAAAGGTATAAATACATGTTTAATACTGCAATATACGCTCGATGGTACAGTCACCACCCTTGCCCTCCAGAATAAAAGAGAACATCCCAATCAAATGAAGGGATTTGTGGAAACTGTGGTTCCTAATTATTGTGATCCAACATTTCCCTCACATTTCAGGATGAAAATATTCCGGTCAACGGATTCACATATTGATCAATAATATAAAATATACAAGTGTGTGATTATAATTAATAATTGACGTGAGTAGTAGCAAAAAATATTTTGGGTGAGCTGTTTACAAGCATCGGCACAGTGTGTGATACAATAGTGCTTTGAAAACAGCATCGGAGCCTCGGTATCAATCGTCCCATCACTAGTGTTAAAACTTGAATGGTTTCGTTTAATTAACTATGTGTATTAACAGCGTTTGCTCAGGTTAAAAAAGTTGCTAACATGAACATCTGCTGTTTATTTCTCTCAATGTGCACACTTTTATAACATTAAAATATCTTGTTTAGTTTTGTAAACTTAATGTGTATTAACGGTGTTTACCGTACCAATGGAGCGCTAAGCACTCTCCTGTAATGTCGGTTTCATTCATACTCGGCAGCCTTGCACAGAAAGTCCACAAGTGAGACTCATAGAAGTTATAAAACTCATGACATTCTAGGAAATCCTGTTGTACATGCCCCAGTCCCCTGACTCCAGCCCCATGTCAAAACAATGCTAGAAAGTGAAACGCGCTGAAACATGAAGCGTAAAGGGGGAAAACGGAATCGTGAGCTGAGCTCACACTTGACTGAAACATAAAATAAAAGCAGCATTGCAAATAAATTAGAAGCTATGGCCATGGAAAATGTGTTGCAAAATCATTGCTTTTGCCCTGTTTCATTTATATTTTGCAATTCTTTATTTTTGTTTGCAAAACTTCTTTTTTTTTCTCGCAATACTTTTATTTTGCGAATATATGTAGCATTGATTTAACTCCATACCCCACCTGTCCTCCCTTGTTACCTGCCTTGATGCTCCCTATTTATTTCTGCTTGTGATTGCATTCCGTTGCCAGTTCGTTGTCTAATGCACCTGTGTTTTTGTTCCTGTCTTACCTGATCCTGCCTTGCCTCGGCTTGCTGTGCTGTGCCCTGGCCTGCCCACCTGTTTTCCAACTCGGGATAGATTTTTGTTGGTTTTTGTTGTATTTTTTATTAATAAAAAGCCCATTTACTCTGCACAATTGAGTCCTCACGTCATCCCTTCACCCAACACTGACATAAGTGCAGACCTCACCTAAATGTTTCAACCTATTATACTAGGCAAGATTTGGCACGGAATGTCAAGATTACAAGCAGATTTACCTGCAGAGGATATAAAATAGCCTGCAAAGTGGGCAGAATCTCAGTGAAAAACGTAGTTTTTTGTTGGTTTTTGTTGTATTTTTTATTAATAAAAAGCCCATTTACTCTGCACAATTGAATCCTCACGTCATCCCTTCACCCAACACTGACATACTGTAAGTGCAGACCTCACCTAAATGTTTCAACCTATTATACTAGGCAAGATTTGGCACGGAATGTCAAGATTACAAGCAGATTTACCTGCAGAGGATATAAAATAGCCTGCAAAGTGGGCAGAATCTCAGTGAAAAACGTATCCCACACCTGGGCCAAGACAAACAGCTGTCTATCTCCTGATAAAAAAGAACATGTTAAAGACCTGTTTTAATGATGGACACTCATGTACAAACAGCAGATCCACCACATCTTGTGTCTCACCTTCATGCTTCTGAATTTCATCCAAAATGATTGATAGACCTTTGGTCAAAATCTGATTCTGCAAACAATCACGTGAAGCAATACTAGCATGTTTTTCTTCTACCAGTAATGCATTTATTTTCATTTGTTTTACCAGAAAAAGAACACCATGGCTCTGGGAATTGACACGTTAATGCACCTGGAAATATTTTTTGATAAAGAAGCCCATATCTGTCCTTAGAAGCCGCCTGTATGGATGAAAGCAAATAGCTGCTTAATGTCGTTATTACACATTACAAATGTGATGTTACAGCTAGTTTAGTTTATACCTGGTATTTTCATTCAAGCAGTACAGCTCATTTGGCAGTAGTTCCTCTCCCTTGAACACATTAACAACAGCAGTGTAGATACTAAAAATGAAAACATTAATATTTGTGAATATTAATGTCATAGTTGAAAGCAACAAACAAACAAACCAACTTTTAATAGAGGGCAAAGGAAAGTGGACATTTAA